GTGCACTGTAGCAGTGCACCACCGGGCCGGCCCTACAACTGACTTCTTGATGACTAAAATATTAATCTCCACAACGGCTCTCTTTTTTGAATACAACTGTGTGTATATATATATATATATGAGTATATATGTTTGCATTCTGCATATGCATTATATTATATATATGTTTATTGAGCAGATACTACGTATAAGGCATTGCTCAAGATATTTAATTATATTATTTTAACTCCATAAAACAGATACTGTAAATTCCATTTTGCAAAGGCAGAAACTGAGATCACATAATTTAAGGAACATGTCCAATGTCCACAAGCCAGCCTGGCAAAACTGTCCACTATGTTCACCCTGATGTGTGCCTGGCATCTCAGCTTTACAGTCGCAAAATTAAATTCAGTCTCTTTTCCTAAATTTCAACAAGCTCTTCTACTTGTAGCATTAGCATGCCGAAGTTTTCCAAAGTAAAAAATTTAAAATAATCCTTGATTCTTCAGTTTCCTTGAGTACCTGAATCCAATTCATTGATAAATTCTATAAACCCAATTCACTGTCAAATCCTATCACTTTCTCCTGTAATAAAACACTTTCTCACTTCTCACTTCGTCTCCGTTTTGACTTTGTGGCTCTCATCTCCATTGTCCATGTGGGTGGTACTAAACTGTCAATACCTGATTTCCACCATCTGCTCTCACCCGTGTCCACCTCCACACTACTAACCAACATATTTTTCAAAAACAAGTCTCAGTATGTTCAAACCCCTTCTTCAAATTTCCAATGAATTGCCACTGTCTAAGCCATAGGTGCCAACTTCTTAGCATGGCACACAAGGCCTTTTCAATATGGACTTGGTCTCCCTTTTGTCCATGTTAATCTCCAGCCACATGGTGGAAGGCATCCTGGGTTACAGTCACACTGAATTTCTTACCTTTGGCACTTTTACTCTGACATATGTTTGCTTTCTCTTGAATGCCATATCTCTAGAATGCCCCTTCCTAGTAAATGTGCATAGAGACCTCCTATATAACAGCCAGTAATCAACCTAAATGTCACCTTTTCTTTTAGCCTTACCTGATCCATCCTTTCCAACTTATTTGTTCTTTCGCTTATGTTCCCAGAGTACTCTATACCAGCTACTATTCTAGGTGGCATGGGTTCAGGTCTTTGAGTCCATTCACTAGCTTACCTATGAGTTCAATGATTACTACACTGTGTGTAATGTGGCATTTTTTGCTCTGTATAGGCCTGTTTTTATTAAATAATATATTTAAGATGACCAAAGAGAAACCCTTTCTAATTAATTACGTTACCCTAGTATCATGAAAGAGATTTTCAAACATGGCTATCTTTCCTTTAAAGAATAATTTGTTTGATTCATATCAGTATTAATAAAATACTAAATTCATTTAAGAAGAAATAAATGCTATGCCCTAACCAAAATAACACAAATATAATACCAGGAATGAGTCTTTCTTACCTTTATTCTTCCCAATTCAAACTGGAAAACATTGGGACTTGTCGCTTGGGCAAAAACTGCAGGAAATAATTTTGTACTTGGCTCCACCTTAAAGAAACAAATGAATTTAATAATATTAGTAAAAGAAAAAAGACAAAGAAAAAATATTTTCCTTATAACAACTAAGGAACATTTTACAGAAGGAAACCAGAGACTCTTCCTGTCTTTCATATAGATATCCTTCAGTACTCAGTTGGCGTATTATATTACTATGTGAATATTTTTGGAAGAATGAACTACCTGTTTACTCTGAAGTGCTTATGGCACTTTCATTATTCAACAGAAGTAAAGACACATTATCAACTCATTTCCATTTCCATTTTCTTTTAGCTTCTAATTTACTTTTTGATCTTCTGCAAGGTGTTGCCCTTGAATGGGGAAAACGGTTTTCCTCCCTGGAAGCGTGAGGCCCTCGCTGACCATGTACCTGATAGTAGGTGCTCAGCTCCTTGCCATTGGCGATGAAGGTAAGCAGCCCACTGGTGGCGTCCACCACACAGCCGATCTCCAGCCCGTTGTTGTTGCGCCCTTGCCCAGGACTCATGCTCTCGCCCGCACACACCATGTAGCAGTTGCTGCGTTTGATGCTGAATTCCAAAAAAAAAATTTTCATCTTCGTACGACCACAGATATAAGAGAAAGCAGGTATATCTTGCAAACTAAACCTAAATTATGCTGCGCAAGCAACAAGCTCATGCTGTAATGGACAGGTGCACAAGGGCCCGATTCTGTGGTTCTGAGCAAAACTCCACTGGCCGCAGTGGACATTTGGAATCAGGCCTGACACATCTCTGAATTTCACACCTAATGGAGACAGGTCAACAAGTTTGAACCAAGAAAGAACTGACCTGCACCTTCTCTCCAAAAACTCAAACCAAACTGGACCATTTTCTGAGGTTCAAAAAAGTTTAACTATTTTAGAATCATCCAAATTTGTAATTTCATGGGTATTTGTGATATCATGGGTATTTTTTGTGTTTTTGTTGTTGTTATTGTTTGTTAGCTATTTGCTGGTTTTTTAACCACTTGTTTTTAGATAAGAAGTATTTGTTTCCAAACACTCAAAAAAACAAACAAACAAACAAAAAAAACCCTCAGGCAAATTCTACATGAGCCATCAGTTATTCATTATATTTAAAATTTGGCTAATGTAATGCCCCTTCATCACAATTCCTGGTGATCTGTTATGAGAGACAGACAAATAGAATACACACAAAATCAGTGATATTAACAACAACCCCCACCTGATTTTCACCTTCACCAAAATCTTTAATAGAGATGGTAACAAAGTTAAGTAATTGGAGCTTCATCTCCATTCCCTTTCTCTGCCACTACACAGTAAACATATTAACAAGACTAGAAAAAAAGGCCAAAGGCAGGCAAACAGGAGGAAAAGATCAAAAAGACTGGTAAAGTCAGTTCCTAAATAGTCAAATGCAGGCTGTGTTTTTTTGCACTGTGTGCGTAAGATTCAACGACCCTTCCGTATCCTCTGTTTCCTACACCAAAACCATCAATCTGTTATCCCATCGCTATATTGAGTTCTTATACTGCTGACATCTCTAAAAGTTAAATGTGTCCCCAAAGAATATTCCTAGAGACACATGGTTTTGGGTCCCATACTAATGCTCTTCATTCAAGATTTCTGCTAGGGCCCTGTCTCAAGAGCTAAGTCCATTACGTTTCATGTGTTACAACCTGAGGGCAGGAGAGTAAGTTTCCCAGTCACCAAAAGCATTGGTGCAACATTATGAAGGACTTTCTTTTCTATGAGACCTGTCACAGCAGATCAGAGAGGACACATGGGCATAAAGGGTAGAAGCAAATGGTCAGATCTTCTCTTGTCTTAGTCTGCAAGGAAGATAGCTTTCTTCACTTTTTTGAAGGTTTGGTTTGAGTTTGGTTTGTTTTACAAATGAAAAAAGATGGCACAAAAAGTGTAACTGACTTACCCAAAGCCACACAGCGAGTCAATGGCAAAGCTGAGGAAAGAACCCACTGCTCCTCAGTCGGAGTTCAAGTGTGTTCACCTGTTCTAAACTAGCAGCCCACACTGTCTTCACATTTTTCTCCCACCACAGAGCCAGTTCCCAAGATCCAGATCGGACTATATCTTAAATGCCTCACATTCACCCATCTCTAGTCCCTGAAACAAAGGCTAAGTATTGGTAACACAAGTGGTTAGTCATGTTACCCGAAGGAAGATGATTATTACCCAAAAAGGAGGCACTGCTCTTACTGTATAAAGTTTTTCACTTTTAATATATTTAGATTCCTCACTGGTTTGTGTGTGCAGCAAAGAGGACATTGGCATTAATAGCTTGATTATATTTTTCCTATAAATAAAAATATCCTGGACACAAAATCCAAGAAAAAAATACCTAGGTTTACCAATATTTTTTTTCACATGTCATTCATATGAAAAATTGAGGAAAACCAACCTTTCATGCACTTTTCCTTTTTCATCTCCCAGAGTAACTGTTACAGTACGAACTCTGTCCAAGTCAAAGCCTGTATCATACTGATGAAAATCTGATGTAATCCAGCCCACCCAGACATTAGCAGGTTCTTGTCCAGGAAAAATCCTCACTGAGTAATAGTACTGTCAAGACAACAAAACCAAATGTTAGAAAAGTAAAACAAAACAAAACAACAAAAC